ACATTTCATATTCTAAAGTTTTGTTAGGATAATCAATTTTTTTAAATTCTTTTAATAGAATGTGATAAATATTATTTATATTTTGATAATAAATTTTTTAAAGGTATAATATATGATGTAATTGTGGAACCACCCAGTGTAGGTTCAACAACAGATGAACATGGTCATACAAGGCCTGTAAGTAACTGAATTAGAGATAATTTTGTATTAATATTTTTTAAAAGTTATTTTATTTATTTTTTATAGGTAGCATTTATGCCATATCGAGTAAATGGGCAATATATTATGGAAGGATTGGCATCTAGTTTCCTTTTTACTTTAGGTGGAATTGGTTTTATAGTATTAGATCAAACACATAATCCATCAACACCTAAGCTCAATAGAATTCTTTTAATATGTGTTGGATTTATTAGTGTTATTGTTTCATTTATTACCTGTTGGGTTTTTATGAGAATGAAACTACCGTAAGATTTTTATATGTATATTATACATTGTAATTTATAAAAGATCAAGTAACACATTAAGTTAATAGTTTATAGAAGAATTACTTCTTTATGCATTTGAATGAGACTTATTTATACGTTTTTGCAATATACATATATAATATAAATATATATATAAGAAAAATAAAAAAAAGACCAGACTTTAATCATTTCAAGAAAAACTTTGATTTCAACTTTTTTTGTTATATATATAATTAATACTTTCGTAAATATTTTGCTAAATTAATATAGAACATTTTATATATAATTTTATATATAATTTTATATATAATTTTTTTGTTTCAGGGGATATCTGCAATCATAAATTTAATAGATTTAAAATAATATGGCTTAAAGCTCAATANAGTTATTTTTTTTATGTAGATAATTATTTAAATAATTAAATATGCATTATGTAGATAATTATTTAAATAATTAAATAATTTATCTAGTTAATTAAATAGTTATCTAGTTTAATTTATAATTAAAAAATATTAATTATATTAAAAATATAAATTATTAACAATGAACAAACTATTAAAAAAAATATTCAGATATTGATATAACTTTAATTTTTATGATTGATTTATATTTATAAATATTCATAAATTAATAAAAATATATAAATAATAATGTATTATTATCAAAAAATAAAACATTTTTGATTTAGTATAAAATATTATTTAAATATTACAAAAAATAAATTTTCATGCTACAAAAATAGACATTACAAATTTAATTTAAGGAATTAAAATATTTTATTTACTATATTATATACTGATTTCTTGAAATTAATTTACAAACAATACTTAATGTACTTAAATTATAACTTTTACTTTGATGTCAAAATTTATTCAAAATGCTTTCTTATGAAAAAATCGAATTCGTGTGCGAATTTAATTCTACATAAAATAAGTTTTACGATATAATTATGGGACATATATCAAAATTGAAATTTGAGAAACATAAGATATTAACAATTATAGAGCTGAATTATAATATAAAATTAAAATAATAGTAAATATTAAATGAAAATAAGAATTAAAATCGAAAAATTTTGAAATTATAAAATGCAAGTATAAGAAAATCCTAACCTAAACTAAATAAATATTAAATCAATATTAATATTTACAATTATTAAAATATTTGTTATATAATATCCATATCATATAAAATAAAAAGAAGTTAAGAATTATTAATTAAATATTGAATAAAATATTATGATTATTAATAATATATGAGAATATAAATGATTATTTACCAATATTTTATTTTAATTAAATAAAATATATATTATAATAAATAATTATTAGAAATATGAAAGTAAAGTTTATTTTTGTAATATTTTGTATTAGTACTTTATTTATTTTATTTTTGACTATATTAAAAACAGATCTTGGAAATAATACAAAATATTTATACAATGCAAAAGACACAAATGAAAATATTTCTTCAATCATAAAGTTTATTATTAAACCAAAATGTGATATTAACTTTATAGTTTGGATTGTCACATCCTCTGCAAATGATGCTGCATATAGAACAGCATTACGATATGCATATCCAAGTGAAATGTTAAAAAGCTTGAATGTCACAAGAGTTTTTTTATTAGGAAGACCTAAAGAAGAAAGTATGTGGAAATATATATTAAAAGAATCACAAAAGTATAATGATTTGTTACAAGGAGACTTTTTAGAAAATTATAAAAATCTTACATTAAAACATTTGATGGGTTTAAAATGGGCATCAAATAATTGTAAAGCTAATTTTCTAATAAAAACTGATAATGATATTGTATTAGATATTTTTGAGATATTAAAACTTTTACAAGAAAAAACAATAGAGGAAAATACTATGTCTGGATATATTTTAAGAAATATGAAACCAATTCGAATATCAAATAATAAATGGTTTGCTACAAAAGAAGATTTTCCAGGTGAAATTTATCCAGATTTTCTTTCAGGATGGTTTTATATAACCAATTTAAAAGTTGCACAATTATTAGTTAATACAAGTGAAAAATTTAAGAATTTTTTTTGGATAGATGATGTATTTGTTAGTGGAATTTTAAGACAAAAATGTGATATTAAACTTAAAGAATTAAATAGCTTTTATGCAACAGATTATAGGTAATTATATATTACTAAATAATTACTAAATAATTACTAAAATAATTATTTATGTTATAAGTTTTATCTCCTCTTAAAATATTTAATTTGTATTGAATAAAATAATAAACTTTTCTTATATAAATAATAAAATTCCTTATTTATTCAAATTAAAATTTCAATATCAAATTTTTTTAATTACTCTTTTAGTAATTTATAAATAATTTTTTCTTATTTCTATAAAAAAAATTGTAAAATATTTTATAAAATTTATTATTCATTAAAATTATTGATTTTTTATATTTTATTAATATAATATTATACTAAAACTTTAAAATAAAAATTAAAAAAATTTTAACAATTTATATTTCCTAGTAATAAATTATTATAAAAAGATGATTTTATTATTTATTGATTATTTTCACATAATATATCATATTAATATATATTATTTTATATTTATATTTTTAAG